TACTAAAACTCCACCTATTGGATAACATAATATTTGTTTAATGTCTGTCTCACGAACAGTACTAAAACTCCACCTATTGGATAACATAATATTCGTTTAATGTCTGTCTCACGAACAGTACTAAAACTCCACCTATCGGATAACATAATATTTGTTTATGTCTGTTTAACAAACAGTACTAAGACTCCACCTATTGAATAACATAATATGTGTTTAATGTGTGTCTCACGAACAGTACTAAAACTCCACCTACTGGATAACATAATATTTGTTTAATGTCTATCTCACGAACAGTACTAAAACTCCACCTATTGGATAACATAATATTTGTTTAATGTCTATCTCACGAACAGTATTAAAACTCCACCTTTTGGATAACATAATATTTGTTTAATTTGTGTCTCACGAACAGTATTAAAACTCCACCTATTGGATAACATAATATTTGTTTAATGTCTGTCTTACGAACAGTATTAAAACTCCACCTATCGGATAACATAATATTTGTTTAATGTGTGTCTCACGAACAGTACTAAAACTCCACCTTTTGGATAACATAATATTTGTTTAATGTGTGTTTATATTCTTTAGTTTTGGTAAAACTACTAAAGCTATTTGCCACCGTCCCTAATTTTAAAATACTGACCAGATGGAAGATCAACAGTACCCTACAACCCAGTGTCACTCTTATAACCTCCCACACACACAGATGAAACTAATAACAGTTACCTGAGTTTACCTGAGTTAGGATCGAAAAATAAGCTATTTGTCATTTCTCCTGTTATGAATTCATCAACAGTCTGTGACGTCTGAGTGACCAGGCCCATCAGGATCTCGGTCATCCCACTGGAGTCGTATACGCCCTCTGGATTGAAGAACGTTTGACTCATGGGCATTGAGCCCACCTTGCGAGCTTCCCTGCTGTACAGGTCAAACACGGGAGGCATCATGGAGTAAAGAAACCCCAGTACACCCGTGGCCACTCCATTAGACACTCCGGGATCTGTATTGATATCGTAGTGACTCGAGAAGCCACTGGTCTGGGGCTTGAGGCCGTAGACGTTCATTATCTCTGGACCGATTAACCTTGGTAGGAATTCGTTGTATGTCACGTGCTGAAGCTGGTGAGATAGATAAGACATAGGGAAAATGAAAATAAATAACATTATCTAATATATTCAATACAGTATTATAATTTTAAAGGTCAAAATCCAAAAATGTGTCAATAAAAAGTAGTGTATATAATGAGGGAAAACATAAACATGGCATTGGCCACAATATAGCATTGGAGACTGAATTTGAAAGGTAACCCAATTTAAGAACCATGTTTGCAAATTTGTCCATCTTAAAACAGCTCTACTGAAGGTTAGCTGAGGTCAAGGTTATCTATCTCATTATTACTCGTGTTGAAGGTTAAGGTTTTTAAGTTTATTCAACACTTGCTCTACTGAAGGTTAGCTTAGGTCAAGGTTATCTATCTCACTATTACTCGTGTTGAAGGTTATAGTTTATAAGCTTATTCAACCTTACTCTACTGAAGGTTAGCTTAGGTCAAGGTTATCTATCTCATTATTATTTGTGTTGAAGGTTAAGGTTTATAAGCTTATTCAACCTTACTCTACTGAAGGTTAGTGTAGGTCAAGGTTATCTATCTCATTATTACTTGTGTTGAAGGTTAAGGTTTATAAGCTTATTCAATACTTACTCTACTGAAGGTTAGCTTAGGTCAAGGTTATCTAACTTATTATTACTCGTGTTGAAGGTTAAGGTTTATAAGCTTATTCAATACTTGCTCTACTGGAGGTTAGCTTAGGTCAAGGTTATCTAGCTCATTATTACTTGTATTGAAGGTTAAGGTTTATAAGCTTATTCAACCTTACTCTACTGAAGGTTAGTTTAGGTTATAGTTATTTATCTTACTGTTACTTGTATTGAAGGTTAAAGTTTACAAAACGATTTGCCCTGAAGGTTCAAACTTACTATAGCTATTCAGTTCAAACACTAGTCATTTTATGGTTTGAATTCTGTTAAAATTATTTACGTTTGAATAGTTTTGACAGAAATAAAATATATTTCGATGTTTTCCGGTTCATCTTACTTAGAACAATCACAACAGACTGACGTCAATGTGACGACAGCATCTGTGGCCAATGGTATTGTTAAGTAATCATGCGTTCGAAAGGTCATGTGATAGGTTAGGCTAGGCCTAATTACCTCGGCTCCGACAACTTTTCTTGCTTCCTCAAAAATCTCGTCGCTTCCCCAATGAGGGTTGAGATCAGAAAGAGCACGTGCGATTCTATTGTGCTCCCTCATCCATATCGTGTGCATCACCATCAATCCTGCGTTTTCGTTCACTCGTACATCCCCTGGTGGTGAGAAAATCAAAGTTCAGTAGCTAACAAAGAGTGGAGTTTAAAGATAGTAACAAAACAAAGACGTGACACACGAAACTCGCGGTAATCAAGAAAGATAGAGGGGGGATATTGTTTCAATTGCCAAAAATAAAAATCTGAAATACGTTTTGTTTGTTTATTTATAATTAAGCACAGGGCTACACAATGGGCTAACTGTGATGTGCCCCCCCACGGGTATCGAAACCCGGTTTCTAGCATTGGAAGTCCGCAGACATACCGCTGTGTCACGGGGGGGGGGCATCTAAGATACATTAGTAATATTTTGTTTTAATAAACTAAACTTCTAATAATCTACATTGTGAATTATTCTTGGAAATTCAATAGTTTATTTGTTTTATTTGTTTGTTTATTAGCGCAAAACCACACAGTAGGTTATCTGTACTCTGTCCACCACGGGGAATCGAATCCTGAATTTTTTAGTATTGTAAGTCCCTGACCAACAATAGATAACATTATTGTTCTATCACAAGTTGCATATTCAAAATTGTTTTAATAAAACATACGAACCCCTTTAATCAATTCAATTGAGACTATAATCTTAGATAACACTCCCCTCCCCCCCATTCCCTGAATCTACAACGTATATCCTTACCCAGCCCACCGAAATCCACCCTGTTTATCTTTAGAAACAAAACCCAAACCACTTCGTTTTTTCTTTTGTTTTTTTATCACCTGCCAGAAAACATCGGACACCAGCACCGGTTCGACAATCTTCAACCTGGTACTCGGGAGGGAGAAGTTCTTTCCCAGACCTGCTCTTCTGGGTTTTGAGAAGTCCACCAAAAGGCATTCGAAGGAGGCTGGATTCTTCCACCGAAGATCCGTAGATTGACGAACCGTCCAGGAAAGACGTGACTTGATTTGTCTGCTCTCTGGGTCCGAGAGTACAACCAGGTCGTGGCGAAGTACAAGAGCGCGTGTATTCCATACACTGCTGTCCACTCGGACCGAACGCAGGATCGTCTTGAGGAATGGAAACTGGAAGACATTCAGGATGGAAGTTGTTTCTCTTGACTCCACAACACTTGATTCTGTGACCCTGGAAGCCTGAAAAGAAGATTCCATCAGAGCCACTCTTCGAGAGTCAGAGTTTGGAAGAATATTGGTATACATTTTACTTCACGAGTTGTACCCTATGTACTTAAATAATGTTTTTCCCATCAGCTTTTACCAAAAAAAAAAAGTTTATATTATTCAATAATCTTTTAATTTTGTAACATAGCTATCTTTATGTCTAAAAGAATTTCTTCTTAAAATGATATCTTTACATTTTATCAATATTTGAACAACGTTATTTTTGATCTTATTTAAAGATCTCTATGTACCAGCAGCTTGTGCGGTGTGGGCGATATCGTGGAAAACCAGTTCTCCAAAGATTGCCATCGCTGTTGTTAGGTGACTATGAGGGCGGTCAACATCCTTATGAACAACCAAACTGACCTCACGTGGGCTCGGAAGAAAGTCCTTAGTGACCGACTGACGAGGGCTGCTGATGCCTGATCACAAAGACAAAAACTTCTTTTACTACGAAATACAAAAAGTTGTTTGTTTGTTTTAACACAAAGTGAAGTATCTTTTTGACATTTACTAAGTAGCCAAAACACGCGTTTTTGTGTTTTTTTAACATATCCAGAAAAATCAAAGTACAATAGTTCGCGTGAGTTTTTTTTTTTTCTTGGACTAACAGTAAAAACATTTCTAATTTTGATGTGACCTTTACTTTTTGACTAGCGTGCCTGATGGAAATCTCTTTCACGTTCTGCGCATAAAAAACTAGCTCGTCATCTCGCTGACAATATTTGCCTCATTTCGTGAAGTGAAATTTAGAAATTTGTCAACAGATGGCAGCGTTTGATATAGTCTAAATACAGCAATAATGACGTCAAAATTGTGCATGTCTGATGATATATACATATTTATATAATTTATCAACTGAGAGCGTCTGTGCTTATCTTTTCACTTACCATCAGGATATGCAGGGGGGAGGAAACGTCTGTAATGAATATCAGCATTTCCCCACGAGGGGTTCTTCACATTGTTACAATAGCCGTCCAAGGCACGATATTTACTCGGTCGGCAGGGAAAGTCCACTTTTAAGGGGCAGGCTCGACCTAGTTCGGTGTCTCGGATGTCAGCCATTGGTAAATTAAAAACAATCTGTTCCCTGTTCAATCGATACCTGTTCAAACATCAAACACTAAGTAATAGAAATATGATCGTATTATTATGTAGAAAGTTCCGCAAGTAATCAACAGAACCTATATCTAAGTTTGACCATGATTTTCACGATCATCAAGATTATACATTTGATGGATGTTTTTGTTGTAAAAATAAAAATGGCAAATATTTAAATCTGGAATTACGTCTCCAAAGAACTGTCATTATCACTAAAAGTTGTCAATATTTAGTTCGGAGTTTAATTACCAAAGTTATTTTAACAATATATATCCATATACTACTAAAACTCTGAGATTGATTGTTTGTTTGCTTGTCTGTAATTAAATACCGCAAAAACGGCACACAATAGCGCTATAAAACGGTAACCCTGAAATGAGAATAGAAACAGAATAAAACATAAAACACGTTTCGTTAAAATCGGGTCACGGGTTACCGAGTTAGCGCCGTTTTT